TCCCAGGCTGCCTGCTGCCCCCGGGTCGCGGCCGCAGCCGCGGGCCGCACCTGTGAGAGCTGTGCCTCCCCCGACCTCGGCCCCCAAGTTCACTTTTAGCCTTCACAGTCCCGGTGGCCTTCGCACTGTGCTACCCCGGGTCACAATGGTGAGCAAAAACAGAGCCCAAGCCCCGGGGTCGTGGGGGCTTGAACTGCTCGGGAGCAAACGAACACCGGCCATTGCAGTGAGGGCGCGAAGGGCGGGCCCACGCCGCGGACGCCACGTGAGGGACGCCTTCGGGCTATTCCTGAGGGCCCCGCAGCTGCCTGAGGGAACCGCTGTTTGAGCTGAGGCTTGAGGGAGGACGGGGGAGGCAAGTGGGTCTCAGGGGGTCCTTGGAGTCCCGCTACCTCTTAGTAAGAATTTTTTTTAGCTTTTACTGAAGACCAAGGCAAAGCTATTGAAGGATTTTTAAGCCAGTTATCACCAGAATAAGAGCAGACCGTTTATTTGGAGTTGAGGTGACTCTGAGCGCTGTGTATGTAATAAAAAGTAAGTGTAGCAAATACGCTTAACATCTGCCCCGGCACTTTATAAATATGAACTCGTTTAGTCTTCATAGCAACCTTTCCAGTAGGTACCAATGTAAAATCCCTGTTTTACAAAGCAGGAAACTGAGGCACAGAGAGATTAGCTTAACTTACTCAAGGCCACAGATCTGATAAGGAGTAAAAATGAGGTTCAAGCCCACACTCTCGTCTCCCCACACTATTAAGCCCCAATTTTAGAATATTTTAACCTTGCTTTATTCTTGGGCCTATGATTGTGAAAAAAGGTACAATATAACAGAACTAGGCAGTTCTTTCTACTAGTTTCCTTCTTTACGTCCCTCCTATTGTTTTTATTTTTATTTTGACAAAACAGGTCTACAGAAAAGTTGCAAAAATATTACCCAAAACGCCCAAATAGCCTTTACCCAGATTTACCACTTATTTACATTTTGCCTCATTGTCCATTTTTGATAGATGGATACATAGATTTATAGCCCATTCTTCGTCACAATTTTGCTGGCTAGATTTAGCATCTGTTGATGTTTATTTCTTGGATAGATTAATACTATGATGGTTGCAAAATTATAATTGTCTAAATCCATCCCTTTCAACATTTTTTAGTTTGCTGTTTCTGAGAAGAGCTTTACCATTTCCAACATTTCTTTATTTATTGTATTCACTTGTGTCAGTATGGACTCAAGGATTCCTTTTTATTCAGCACCAAACCTGTGCTCTTTCCAATTGTATGTACTCTCCTGTCTCTGAATATGGATCATTTAATCCTCACAGGAACCCTGTAAGGGTGATGGTGTTATTCCCATTTTCCCAAAGGAAGAACTGCCCCACAGGCAGATTATGTAATTTGCCCAGGGTCACAGTTTGGGGATCAGTCCCCAAAGCTGGGATCTGACCACACCCTTCTCTTGACATGAGTGGATCTGAGTTCCCACCTTGTCCATCGTTACTCCTTCTGGGTTCTGCCAGCTAGCCAGGATGGAGCAGAGACTCTTATTAATGTTTGCAGAATGAATGTTTAAACGTAGTGAGAACTTTGAACATGTTGTCAGAAGGAAGCAGACCACCTGTAGAATTAATCAAAGGCTGTTTATTCAGACAGTACTATGGCAAGGGAGTTGGCTACTATCACTTTCCTTCCAGCAGAGACTTGAAAGGGTTTGAAAAGGGAGTGCACTTTGTAGAGAAAGGAGAGACCCTTGAGACAGACTTTGATTGATGAGTATTCTATTAGGATAGGATTTTTCTATTTGGGCAGGATTTCTGGAAGTAGAGTAAGCAGAGGCTTTCTGATTACCATTCAAGTACATGTGGCAATCTTTGATGGGTATGGGTTCATTATCTACTAGTGCATAACTGAGGACATTCTCAGCTGAATAGAATCACAAGACTTTTCCTGTTTCAGTGGGAAGACTGCCTGGTCCTCAGCTTTGGGGTCCAGTTCTTGTGTCATCAGATCCTCAATGTCTTCACCCACATTCTCTTATTCTGACATCTCTGCAGCCAAGGGGTTGAGGGAGATGGAGCAAAAAGACCTTCATATGGTATCTTCAGTGCTTAACACTGGGCCAGGATCAGAAAAAGTGTGCAGTAAACACATGTAGGATGACTCACACTTACTGAGTTCCTCCTAATACTTCTCCCTATTTTCTACCCTTTTTTCCTAAATAGAAAGCTTTTTGAGGTCAAAAATTCCACCAAAGAGTTCTGCACTTTGCTTTTTACTGAGATGAGCACTGGATTCTCTCAAACTGGACTGGATTCAAACCCCACCTCTACCCTCTATGAGTCTGTGACCTGAGGAACTACCTGCTTCATATAAAGGTAGTAAGTATCCAATGAGATGTTATATGTAAAGACCTTGCACATAGTAGGGGCTTAATGTTTCTTCCTCTGATAAGTTCTTTGTAAATATTTGTTTGATATCTCATGTTAAACACCAGTGCTAATCTGAGATATGACTTAAAAGACCCCTGATACTTGGTAACTTATCTTGAGAGCACTGGAGAACAGTGGAGATGTGTACATGCCAGTTGAAAGTATTAAAAGAGTCTAAAGTGGCTGCCTCCAGGAAGAGAATGGAGGATCATGGTCAGGAAGCCATTATATTTTTAGAATTTCACAAATGCAGGTTCCTGGGCTCCACTCTAGACTTCCTGACTCAGAATTGCTTATGGTGGAGTCTGAGATCTTCATTTTGAATAATCTTCTCAAGGGGTTCTTTTAGTTTGAGAACTAAAATTTTTTAAAAAAGCAAACAAACCGAATTATACTGGCAAATGCTTAAGAAGTTTTCCAGTGAATGAATAGGAGATAAGTTACTCTGCCTTCTTCCATCGGGTTCCTAGATGTAGAATGAAAATCTGATAAATCATAGATGAAGGTGATGGCTAGCGGCTTTCAGAGAGCCTCGATACATGGGCACAAAATCCATCTTGTACTAGGGGCCTAGATCAGCCCTGACATGTAAAAGCGTTGGCTAATGATGAATAAACATCTATTCTATGCTTGTTCTTTGTCAAAATTTCAATTGTGCGCTGCTTGAGTAGTAACTCTGGCCATAGGCAGTAGCTCTACTGAAACTGTACTATGAGGGATCAGATTGAAGCATAGAGACAGGCAAACTAAGTTCAAGTCTTGATACTGTGATTTAAAAGCTCTGTGACCTTGGGCCTGTTATTTCACAACCCTAATCCTTTTTCTGTGAATAGTACCTATTTTGCCAGTGCATTGTCAAGCACTCAAGATCCCAGTGGCTGTTATCCACCAGCCTTATTTATTTGACTAAGAAATCCTTTTTCATGTTTGTTTCTTTACTATTTACGTCTGTGAGCCTTTCCCCATTAGTAAAATGAAAGCCAGGTATGACAGCATCTTATTTGAACTGGGAGTTAACAATGTAGCACTTCTCATAAACTTTGCATGCACTGGAAATCTTAAGTTCCAAAACTCCTTGATCAAACTTTGGATTTAGAGCACCCTGCCTACATTGTTTCTTACTGAGTTAATTGTTCCAGGAAGGAAAATAAAAACGTCAGTAGGCCCACACACCTTCTCTTTCATCTTAGCAGTGCGTGTTAACAGTGAAATAATATGCTTATTTTCATATCCACACTGATAACTCCTGGGGCCCTGATTTACCAAAGAGGCATGTCAGGAAACCTAGCATAGGGATCATGCATCTAGCAGTTCCAATGGCTGTTTATCATTACCTTTTCATTTGAACATAAAAACCTTTTGACAAATACAAACTCATTATAACCTGTAGAACTGAACAGAATTTTTAAAGAAACAACCCTAATTTTCATGAATAACATGTTTGAGTTCATGCTGCTGCCTATCAGGAATGAAAATCACTATTACAATGAGGACATAAAGGGCATTTGTGGATTTCGTTTGGTTATTTCTTTTTTAATGGCTAGCAGATTTCTTGAATTTATGGGCAAAGAAACTTTGGCCTTTCATTATGTACACAGGTAGTATCTCTCTTGCTGTTCATGACAGCCATCTTAACCAGTGCTTCAGTGGTGTGATTTGCCAGTGGCATGGAGAGAACTTCCATTGTGCTGAAGTTATTTTTCCCCTCTTCAATAATGCATTAAAATGATTAATTTTGATGGTGTTTCTCAGCAGCATATTTAAATTATAAGGTGCATAGAATAAAAAGGAACTGAAATTGAAAATGCCTCCTCTGACAAAACTGAGGTGGGCTCAAGAGAAATTCTCACCATATCCTGGAGAGAATTCAGGGGAGGCAAGTTAGAATCATAGTAACAGGTCAAAGTTAAGATGAAAAAGAAAGAAGTGTAAGGAACATCAGAAACCCAGAGAAAGAGCATTCAAGGGCAAGGTCAGCTGAAAGACTAAAAGTGGAGAACAAGATGTAACGAAATAAACATAGGTGATGACACTCTATTGGTCGGGAAATTTGGAAATGGATGAAGAAGATGGTAAAAGTGTACTGAAAAACATTTATACAAGGGACAATGGAGAAACATGGACTGACAGAGGAAAATGGCACTAGATTGTGGGAAAAAAACTCCCTTCGGAAACAAAATCTACATTCCCACTGCAACTGGGAGCCGTGGAATTGAGCACTTTCAATATTATTAAGATATCCTTCTTTTAAATACTAAAATAAAAATTAAAGGCATTCTATTTCAAATGCCCTGCTTCATCAGGAAGTAAGCAGTCACAGCAGTGGTTCTTAATAGAATTCCTTTAAGAGGTTTTTGTTTGGTTGGTTGGTTTTTTTGTTTTGTTTTGTTTTGTTTTTTAATGTCTTTGGGGCTATATTCTTCAAAGGTTCTGATTCAGGCCATCTTGGTCCACCTTGGGGCCCAGGAATTCACATTTTTATAAGTAACTCTCCCAGCTCCCCATCTGTATTGTAGGCACTCCATTGTTCATGATGGGGGAAGCACTGACCCAGAAGGTCAGACCTTGAGAAGGTGAGAGGAAAAGGACAACAATCATCCAGTTACCCTCTTTCTCTCTAATCTTCCTTTCCATTTCTTATCCCACTTCTGCTATGTTCCTTAACCTTTCCCTACCCCTTTGAAATCAAATTACTCCATGAAAACAAGGAGCATGAAGGAAGGTTCCGTGCTGTTCCCTCTGCCTGAAACAGTGCTTCCTTGTTGTCTACCAGGCTGGGGCCCTCTCATCCCTCATGGTTCAGTCACCCCCCTTCAGGAAGCCTCCCTGAAGGCAAGGCTGGGGGTTATCTCAGTGGTTACCACTAGGCAGTTACCCCATTGGTTTCTTGTCTTCATCTTTCTTCAGAATTTAAAAGTCTACATTGACAGGGACTGTGACTTCTTCGCTGTTATGACACTGCACCCAGTACAATGCCTGGAGGACAGGAAGTTCCCAACTGATTTTGGCTAAAAGGATAACTAAATGAAGATGAAACCAGTGCAAAAATCACACTAATAAGAAAATCCAAAGATTCATGAATGTCTAGAAATTTGCCAGTACCCTTAACAAGAATGGACGTTGAGGGAAATAACCTGCCCAGGGTCACACACTACACTAGTGGTTTTGTTTACTGTTCCTCAGAGTTCTTAGGTGCCTTCAAGACCTATCTCTCCACCACCTCCTTCTCTGTATTGTTCCCCTACATTTATTGAACACTTCCGTGCTTTCCAAAGCTGTACAGAAATTCTTACTCAATCCTCACCACAGCCCTGTTTTACAGATGTGCAAACTGGGCCTCATAGCAGAGAGTAGTAAGTTGCCTGAGATAATGACTAGGAGGAGGCCAGTCTCAGTCAATCTGGAATTGAATCTAGGCCAACACTATCCAATAGATTTTGTTGCAGTGATGGAAAAGTTCTGTGCCCGTGCTGTCTGGTACCATAGCCATCAGCCCTGTATGGCTATTGGGTTCTTGAAATGTGGCTAGTGGAATTAAGAGAGTAAATTTTTAATTTTAATTAATTTGTATTTAATTTTGAATAGCTACACATAGCTAGTGGCTGCCATACTGGCCAGTACGGGTCTATGCTATCTAACTGATGTACATACTCTGTACCATCCCATTATTTTATTAATTGGGTTTCTATTAGGTACAAGTTTTATTAACTGGGTTCCTAATTTAGGTACAAATAGCTTATTTAAGAGCAGATCCTAGGCAGCAGGTGACGGAATGGGGAGGTGAGATGGGGAAGTGAAACAGGGAAGGTGAAACAGGCTGTAGTCAGTTGGGTTTCATTTTTTCAAGGAACACTTTGTGTATGGAATGTACCTCATAATCGTCCCATTGAGGACTGAGGAAGTGGTCATGTTTGTCCACCAACTCTCATGTCTCCTTGGTTGAGAGCTGGTCAGAACAGTTATGCTCCTGGCGGCTAGACAAAGCCTTAGGGCAGAGAGATGAGCAGATCTCTGATGCAGGGATTGTCCTGCAAAGTTGCCGGTGACTTCCAGGGAGTTCACAGAGAGATGGGGCGAGTAAAACTACATTGTCTCTGACTTTAAACTGACCAGATTAGCTCATACCAGCGTTTTATCTGGGGTGAGAGGAAGGGCACTTGAGATTTTATTAGTAAGAGAGGCTCTGCTCCTGAGGGAAAAAGAAAGAGAGAGGGAAGGAGTGAGAAAGAAAGAAAAAAGTTTCCAAACTGTGGTTCTAAATTGTACTCTTGCCTGTTTTCATAAAAAACTCAATTATTGGATTTTACCCTATTTTGTATCATTTCTAGCTCAGTATGTATACTTTAAATATCCCCACAGTCTAGGCCCATAATGTAGTCATAAAATAGCTGACCCTGAACTTTCTCAGTGGAGACATGAAGAAAGCTAAGAATCAGGAAGTATACGTTTAGTTGGTTTTTATTTGATATGTCGTAAAAGATTAGTGGCAGCAAGAGAAGAGAATCAGGTGGAACCTACATATGGCTTAAAAAAAATTTTTTTTAATACTTTTAAGAAGATGTAAATAGAAGTGGTGAAAATAGTGATTTCTTCTCTGATATCAAGCTCTGTTGAGCTCTGAGAAGAGCAAACATATAATTGTTATAGATGTAAATCAACTGAAAGCCAAGTCAGAAAGGCAGATCAGCTCCTGAAGAAGATGCACTGGCTTCTGCAAAGGAAGTAGGTAAAATGTTCTGTCCTGTGTACCTTGATGGGCTGCGGATCTCTATAACCTTGGGCTGAAAGGACATGAAAAACTCTTTATACTGTAGGCAAAAATAATGTTACCAAATTTCTGCCGGAGTCAATGGCCAGCTATGGAGGCTAAGAAGAGCTTAGCTACCTCAAAGAAGAGCCTGCCTGGAGAGTTTCTTCATGCTACAAGCCTCTGTAAATTTCCTTTC